AGTTTGACGAAATGTCACCGGCATTCACCCGACCTGACAACGAAATGGAAAGTGCGATGACAGGGCACCACGTGCCGCTCGCCTGGCCCGCACTTCGCACCGCTCGCTAGAGTCCAGACCACTACAGATAGGCAGTTCGAGGCGAGCGGCCGCTGAGCCTGCAAGTCAGCGATCAACTCGGCTCGACTCGACAGTTTTCTAGTGAAAGCACGACCTTCATTGGACTGTAGACCTCAAATCGACGCACGGGTGTTACTAAGTAGTGGTTTCGAGGATAGAATGGGATGCATTAGGTGGTTTGATCGAGAAAGGGAGGTTTATCGCATGTATTATAGCTGAGATCTTAGCCTCGGAAAATGGGTCCTTCTCCTTTCTAAGATGGGCCAAGCATGGAAAGTAGCGTTAGGAGCTAAAGCTTCTGAATTGATAAAGCGAATTAAATGTGCGTCGTTTCTTCTTTCGAAACGAAATTCATATTACAAAAAGCAAGTTGTTATGAAACTTTGAAGATCCAGCGATAAAGTAAATGGTCAGCATTGTCAGCAATAGATATAACGAGGTGAAAATATGTCTGACTTATATTTCACTTCCGTCCACCCATTTATGTTCTCAAGACCAGCCCATTTTTCTCTTTGATCACACAACCGTTTCCCAGCTGGACCGCCTGACCGAGACTGACCACCACCCAGACCCAGCCAAACAGCAGCAGCTTGTAGCTCCAGAAGCAGCACACCTCCCCGTGATGACGTTTGAGCAGCTAGGTGACCTATCTCCCGCCGAGCCACGCTAGTTCCAACGTAACGAGCTCAAATCGCTTTTACGCGCCCGTGTGTTGTCAAATCAGCCCAATATTTTATTTTTGTTAGTTTGTTTTGTTAGGTCAGGCCCTTTCGGTCCTTGAGACCATTGCAGATCCGGGAAGATGATAGGAATTAGGAGGAAGACATATGCCTGGGCAGGCACTCTAGAGAGTCGCCGGGGCTGAGCCCGTCCGAATGGACAGGTCAACCAGCACCCTCCCCCCCCCCTTCCTCCCTCCCTAAGTACTATCTGCATCCGGCTACGGGTGTGCTCCCCTGGGAGCTCAGTGGTGCCGCTCCAAGGCAGCAGCCCGCATGAGATAAATTGGCCTGTCCACAGTGTCCAGCCCGGAGTGGGGGTTGCGGCGTGGAGGAAAAGGATTTGAACATCCGACGGACGGGTCCCTACTACCTTAACCCCCCCCCTCTCTCTCTCTCTCTCTCTCTCTCTCTCTCTCTCTCTCTCTCTCTCTCTCTCTCTCTCTCTCTCTCTCTCTCATTTCATTGCCCTTAAATGGTCACAATAGCGAGGAGTAGGTATCAGGGAGGGGCCTGCTTAGCAAAAGGAACAAATAAACGAGTAAAAACATCAAACTAGTTTGGCTAAATAAAGCATTTAATCAGTGACGTACCCAAGGAGGGGCCACGGCGCTCAGGAGGCTCAGAGGGCCCCTCAGGCCCCGGTATATTTTTTCAAACACTAGATAAAACGTCTTTTACTAGGAATAAAAAATGATATCAAAGTTTAATTTATGTGCCCCTGGTTACCCGAGGGGCCTCTGATGACCCGATGGGCCCCTACAGTCATCCGAGGGTCCCCGGTTCTCTGGGCCCCTGGTCGCATGGGGCCCCTGATTGCCTGGGGTCCCTAGTCGCCTAGGGGGCACTGGTAGCCGGGGGGCCTGGTCGCATGGGGGCCTCTGGTCGCATGGGGCCCCTGATCGCCTGGGGCCCCTAGTCGCCAAGGAGGCCCCTGGCGGCGGGGGCCTGGTCGCATGGGCCCCTGGTTGCCTGGGACCCCTGAGGGCCGCTGGTTGCCTGGGGCCCCCTGGTCGCCTGGGTGGCCTGGGGGCCCCGGGTGACCTAAGGGCCCCTTCGGAAGCAGGTGGCCCGCTCCTGGGCGAAATCCTGGGTACGTGCCTGCATTTAATTAGCCTAATTAGTGTCCAACGAGGGTGTGGTGACCGTGAAAGAGCTAGTCAGTGTCTCTGTAGATTCCGAGACCTCACATTGTAAGGCGCTGAGCAAGAGTATCGCCACCTGTCTAGCTCTAGTTTCAGAGCCATTCCCCAGGTGTCAGCACAGCCCAGGGACCGGCTGATTCTCTCGGGTGACCACAGGTAGGTAGAGGGCAGCACGTTGCAGAGTTGTTTGATATGACGTCATACGTAAAGCCGGTTTGACATGTGACGTCATACCAGCACAGTATTAGCATTGCGGGCAGCCGCCGCCAGCCCGGTGCCCTGTCGCTAACTGATTTCAATATTGGTAACCACAGTATTGCAGCTGTCAACTTTCATATAATCTGTTTTTTTTTTTTAGACCATACCGATGTTAAACACGTAACATTAAAAATCGTAATAGGCAGTATCAGACAAATTTTACCTACCTACCTACAGTGCAGTAGGTACTTATCAGCTTGATATTGGCACATGTCCTAAAACACCTTCTTTATTTATTTTATAACGATTTTCGTGTTGTGCAATGGATAGTGCGACATAATATGTGTTTCAAAATGTAATTAATTTCGTCTCACATTTATTGCATTTAGTAGGTACTTTGGTCAAACCGTTCCGAATTTAGAAGAATGGGACGGTTTTGAATTGCAATAATTTACTTATGTGAGTACTTGCGAAATAAGCAGCGCGTGCAGCTTTCTTCGCAGCAAATTCAAAAGCAAAATATTATCATCACAATAATCACGTCGAATTTGTGACCTTTGTGAGGTCAAGGTAATTTCACGTTCAGCCGAGTGCATTGCATTTCAGGAATGTATTTGATACAATTATGTGACTGATTGTGGAAATGGAAGGATCGATTTTCGTTATGAGGGAAGCTTGGAATATGATCTAAACAGGCAACTAAAACCGTACCCGGGCAACCGCTTGGAAGACTTTTGAAAACGTGATCAGCTCATCTGAAGAAATGCGGCTGAAATAGGAATGCTCAGCCTCTTCAACCAAGTCGGTCCCGAGCCATTATTGACAGAGGAGATTGTGCAGAAAACAAAGTGGACCCAGACGCTTATACCTTCATCAGAGTTACGAGGAAAGAAGACAGTCGAGGTGCAAACTGAGTGCATCACAAGTCCACATCAGCCTCTTCCTAAGTTAGCGTACTTCAAGAACCTAGCAATTGTTGAAAGAGCGCCTGAAGGATCTGGATCCAGTGTGTTTTCTACCAGGCTACGCGGTTTCGCTATTCAAGGCGCAAAAGAGCAAGAAGATATCTACCGTGCAAACCTGAAGTACATCCCGTCTTGTGTGAATGTCATCCCCAGAGCTCGAAACTACTCGATAGTGATTCGTGACCTGAACAATGTTGTCATTTTGAAGATGCTGTCATCTGTCTTAGGTGTGAAAATGGTGATATCCGACGCTGACGACAAAGTCATCGCCAAGATCCAGAGGAAGTTCATGCCGCCCGCATACAAGGTGAGATCGGCGATAGGATTGAACCTCTTCACCTTCCGCAGAGACGGCCAAGATGCCTACAACTGCATGAGTTCGGACGAGCTTCTCTTGGGACACGTGCGTCGCCAGGACAGGCTGCACGGCGGTGGTCCCCCTGACAAGTTCTTCCATCCGAAGCTGTACATCAGCTTCACACAGATCTGTGACATGCGCCTCCGCGCGCTGGTAGTGTGTGCCTCACTTCATGTGGTCCTCAGTGAGGAGCCGAGCAACTGAATGCATGATCCTACGTGTACCGGGTTGAAATCCAGTGTGACTGCACAGCGAAGCGCGTTTAGATGACAGCCGCCAATCGCCATGCATATCTTTGTAATACTGTGAACAAAGTGATCGTCTAAGTCAATATCATGTGTGCTCTTCCAGTTTTGGCTTATCTGGTCTGTTCCGAGTGATGTGAAAACTTGATAACTTATACCATAAAAGATAACGAAATGCACAGGCTCCGACAGCGGGGGGGGGGGGGAGCGGTCGCTGGGATCGCTGGGATCCAAACCGGTCGCCGGAGCCCTCCCCCCTTTCCCTAATAACCTCGCTTCCCTAATGTAGCCTAATGAAGGGTGAGCATTTTTGGGTTGGCCTCCCCCCATCCTGAGACCGTGGCGGAGCTCCTGACGAAAGGTGATGAAACATACGAGTAACATAACCCCAAAGGATGGTTTTTAAAATCGATTTTATTTGGTAGGTATATTGAATCAAGAATGTTTGTTTTGCATAACTTTGATTGATTAACTATGGTAATTATCTTGATCTAAGGAAATAATATTTGGTAGGTATATTGAATCAAGAATGTTTGCTTTGCATAACTTTGATTGATTAGCTATGGTAATTACCTTGATATAAGGAAAAAAGATAAGGCCACTGGCCAACATCAGATCAGATTCGCCTCATTTTCTCATTGATTGAACCTGTAATCAGAAATAAACATAGGCATAACAAGGTGTTTTGAAGAAGTAGATTGCTTAGCTCAGGCTCAATGCTTGCTCACAACAAATCAAAGTAATGCCCTCATCGTTTAATTGTTTTTTGAATGACCTTACAAAATTATACTTTTCATTCATGTATTTTTGTTTTAGATGAATTTTCGGCCACGGGCCATGATCACATCAATGCCAAATATAAGAATATTGGAAGACAAAATACAAATTAGGTACAAGTCGAATCATCGTCAGTTTCTATCTTTCTACTTTTCGCGTGATAAGAATGACAGGCACTTTCACACTTGGCGGTACCAAATTCGCAAACACAGACCGATTCTCAACCGAAACATATCTTCTTGGCACATTTTGTAGCTGTTATCACTCGCCGCAGACATCATGCCTACGCACATTCATAAGTCAGTAATTCATCCTAAGTATTTTGTGCCAAATGTGTATCATGGAAAGCAAAGTGTTACCTTTATAGTGATAGGATGAGGTTAAGTGTGTTTTTTCATGTTTCCATGCAGATATGTGCGAATGTAACGATTACTTAAGTGTACCCATTACCAAGTGTGAAAGTGCCTGTCATTCTTATCACGCGAAAAGTAGAAAGATAGAAACTGACGATGATTCGACTTGTACCTAATTTGTATTTTGTCTTCCAATATTCTTATATTTGGCATTGATGTGATCATGGCCCGTGGCCGAAAATTCATCTAAAACAAAAATACATGAATGAAAAGTATAATTTTGTAAGGAGGTCATTCAAAAAACAATTAAACGATTAAAATAAATGCCTTACATTCAGCAAGCACTTAACGAATTTAATGCCCTCATCAAAGGAATGCCTTGAATAAAACTCGCGAGGCGTAATGCATTTCTTTGGACATCTATTTTCTTTCCCTGTCGGTCCTGTTTGTAGCATGCGCAAATTCGTCAAAGACATTTTTCGTTTATTTTCAACGATGCGATAACCGTCCAAGTCGAACTTTTTACACCTTTGTTTGCTATTCACGCGACTAAAGCCACAATGGTAGTAACTCGACAATCGACTCACCGCGATGGAGGGGAAACTGGGGAGGAAAGTCATTCAGAACCCCCTCCAGCTATCAGCCGAACATCGATGGAGTTTCAGCCTCCGATGACATTTGTGTTTCAGCCACCCCAAAATCAACTCAATCAACCGAATACTGCAGAGGAATTCGGTGAGTAGAACGACTTCAGATATTTTTAATTTTTTATAAGAATTTCATGTTTTCCGGCCAGATATGATGGATTGGAACAAATCGTCCAAACAGACTCTTCAATTATTAATGACCTATTTGCATTTGATATGCCAGCTAATCGCTTGATATCTGCTCTGAGATTTACTTCTGAAAATGAGTGAATTTTGATAAAAAAGATGTAACCATGTGATTTGCACTCTACAGATATACCCGAGGAGACAGACTCAATTCAGTGTGAAAGTGAAACGAAGGAAACGGCCAGCGAAATCACAGAAATTGCCAGACGCTCAGGTATGTTCAAATTGCTAAATTATACAGTATGTAAAATGGTTGGTTCTTTGACGTTTTTGAGAAAAGTAAAAGCTTAGAGCAAGGTGCTTGACGTTCTGTTCAACCCCTTATCATCGTTGCTATTCAGCTTAACAAATGTCCGTTATATAATTGCTTTACAGTCCCATATTTGAGCCAAAGCGGAGTGGCATTATATTTTGCTCACTTCTTCGCATTCTCGATATAATTCTTTTTCTTTTTAGCAATTATAGAAAAAAACTAATAACTGGAACATTTGTAACAATATTCTACGCCAACGGTCTCCATATAGTCTTCAATATCTGACCCTCAATCTTTCGAGGAGCTTCCGCTGATGAATTCATTCCCTCTCTACTGTCCAACGTAACAATCTATGCGTCCGTCCGTCCGTCCACAGACGTGTCCCCGTCCCGCGGCGGGAGCGAGGTCGTTCGTCTCCTCGCCAGTCTTCACGACCTCAGTCGCCAGATGGAGATCACCATGGTTGACCTGCGCGCGCAGCTCGGCAACCAGCTGGGAAGCCAGGTATGGTTGCAGGAGCTGGGCTTACTGACGGGGGAGCTGTAGATTTATGTGCCCAGCGTGGGACCAACTAAGGTGCCAGGCATGTTACTGAACGACGATTGAGGGAAGAAATCAGCCGTATAAGCAGTTAAGCTGGAAGATAAATGACTGATCACTTTAATTGGAGAAGCTTATTCAATTTAAACAATGTTTACTTTATTGGTGCATTGCTGAATTTAGTTGATAAACGGTCTTTTCCCGTGAAATTAATCGGTCAAATAGTTGGCAAAAATCATGCGTGCAATGTGCATACGATTACCCTCACAAGTGTATGATTCTGATGACCATACCTACCTACATGACGATTTTTACAATGTTTCCAGTCTTGGTCCTCTGGAGACTATGACCTGCCCGAGGACAGTATATCCCAGCGCGAGCGACCGGGTTCACGGGGAATCAAACAGATCAGAAGGGCCATCTCGCATACGTAAGTTCAGCGTTTGCAGTTCTGGCTGTCAACTAGCAGGACTTTCGGTAAAGGTAGAAACTTGCGATGTAACTCGATACTGGATGTTCCTAAACAGCAACTATGGCTTCTATTGAATGGCTAAATGAATATACGAGACATTTTTGGCATGAAGCTCTAATATCTATCGATTTGATAGGCTAATGATCATGATTTAGAAATATCATATCCTCGGCTCCAACTAGTTCCGATGCTCCCGTTATCCTATTCCTGACGCTCCCCTCCCCCCTCCCTCAGCTGGGGTGGAGTCGTCTGCCGCGTTCTCACCCTCTGGCAGCTGATCTGTCTGAGGTTTCCCGTCGCCACCGGTCGACTGACGGAGCTCAGTCGGAAGCTCAGAACCCTCCTGCCCGCTCTGGGCTACCTCCTACTCGCCCACATCTTGTATGGAGTCTACACGACGCACCAGAAACTCGTGGAGCAGCAAAGGCGGAGAGCCGTGCCCTGGCTCTAGCGGCGGAATTGGGAACTAGTAGTTCTGCTATAGATGACAGGGCAGTAGTGATGCGTTTGTTGTGTTACGTGAAATGGTATTTTGTTACATTTTAGCGTCATTTGTGGTTGTCTTTTGTTTCCCTGGCTTCAAATTACAATTCTGCTTATGTTTCGTTCAAATTTTACGTGTCGAACTGTAGCGTGCAGTAAATATTATGTCCACGAATACTAATGGTGTTAATACATTATCCCCATGCCTCGCGTCCTACGGTCTACCTTCCTTATTTATTTATCCCTCTTGGGCATTGACATTATTTGGGTAATACATTAGGCATCATTCATCCAGTCAATGCCGCTCGATCTCTGAACAGATTGCGACGATGGGCAGCATACATTGCCATAATTGGATTTACCGTGAGTGGGGTCAGACATGGTGTTGAGTTGGTACATAGGTACATGCCTACCTAAATGGAATTGTGGAATGAACGTACCTTATCAGAGTGCGATGAAGACAATGATAGGGACACGGGCTCGGAGAGGTACTTGCTATCCCTAATCCTATTTTTATTTTACTATGCATAAGACTTCACACTGCAGTGCAACGTCTTTGCATGTCACGTGACCTGACGAATATAGCGAAGACATTCGTTTTTGCCTTCCAATTCTAATCACATTTTCTCATGGTTATCTCTCAGAGCACCGCTAACGGATATAATGTACGTCTACATGCACCCAGCCTACCACAAAAAAAGCCTGTTTGCGTCTGACATCGTTTCCCCAGGGCAGCGGGCTGTCTCAGTACCATCTGATGGCAGCCATCTCATTAATTCCCTCCAGCGGTGACGTCACACCGTCTGCTGTGACGTCATTGCTCCTCTACGGCTCCGGCGGGCGCCTCGGTGGTCGTTGCTCGGCAATATTCCGCCGATATTACCCGTCGCTAGGCGCACATACTGTGAGTCAGAGACGGGCACTACCGTCTGCTACAGAAAATAACGCGCCGCGCAGACAAATTGGTGTTACGGGCGTGCGCTCTGAAACGTGCCAGCCAGCGCTCGGTAAATGCCAAAGGGCGGCAGCCGGCAGCTAGCGACACTTGGTATTCCATGAAAGAACAAATAATGGCCTCCACAGTAGCTGGACATAGTAGCGGAGGCAAATATAATATTGTCGCTGTCAGACAGCGAGGCCTTTGTCGCAGGCTGTTCCGCGCCATCAGCTGGTGGCCGAGGAAACGGCGCGAAACACACCGGAAGTCACCGGAAGTGCCCGCTTCCGGCCCAGAAGTGTGTGCTCTGCGTAAGGCACGGGACGCACCGAACAGTGTGTTGTATATGACGCCTATGGTTAAGATAGTTTGTTGGCCAAGTGCGTTGCTGGTAAGCAACTCGGCTTATAATCACCCGAAATATTTTATTGAAAAAATCACATTACAATGTTGACAACTGAGAACATTATCAGAGAATCACATAAACGTTCTATTCTTTAAACATACTGGAACTCTGCTGCCTAGTAAATTCCTTGCATATAGGTATACTTACATTACTTATGCAGTCAAAATGTGACATTCCTTTGTAAACGTCGCCCTGAATTGCAGAGCATCAAGCATGAATGAAAAAATACATGCAGCAAATGATTCCCTTTGTTACAAGGAGAAACGCTCTAGGAGGGAGGTCCTTGCACTGTTCTTTGTTGATCCGTCAATGAACGTAGGCATGCAATATTACAACATGCATCAACATACAGGATAATGTCTTCCGCTTATGAGATCTCAGAACAGCTGTTCAAAATCAATCCTAAATAGACACTTCCAACGCCGTTAAATTTGCGTTACCTGACTGTACGACGGCGGATGGGGTGCCGGCATTCTGGGCCGAGGGGCGCCCGGCCAACCGCCCACTAGCGCCGGCTGGCGGCAGAGCGACGCACTACAACGTACGCACGTGGGAGGAAGAGGGCGCTGGTGTCGACAAACATGGCGGCAGCTTGGCGGGCGTACGAATGGCGGTGGCCGGTGGCAGCTACAGGGCCCACCGTGGGCCGGTCTGGGCTGGAGTGGGCCCTCGCCCACACGTAGCGAATAGACCCCTGGGGGTGGATGACGCGGAGGGGCCCAACGTTGCCCCGCTGGGCCTGGGTGAGCCGTCGACCCCTGTCGAGTTAGAGAATCGCCTCGTGAAACCGGCGGCCACTCCGGTATCTCCGACCCCGGCCTCGGCGGAGGCCACGACTCCGGCCCAAAACCGTTCCCCCACTTCCCCACATCAGCACTTCGCCTCTGAGGTCTCTCGCCCTCCCACGTCACACTCTTACCCCACTCTTCCCCACTCCTCTCCCTGGAGCAGCCCCGCTCTCTCCCCATCCGCGGCCACTCTTCCACCTCTCTCCGAGGCCACTGCTCACTCTCTCCCTCTCTCGACCTCGCCACCCAGTCCATACTGGCTGACCCCGCCATAGAACATTCACCACTCCCGTTGAAATCCAGCCGCCGCGGCAGACTCGCGAACTGTCTATACGGAAGCTCGTTGTATTTGCAGCGGGCCGCTGGGGGTACTGGAGGACCCCGGTCCAGAGAGCGACTCGTAGGAGCGTCTCTGCGCAGGCGTGGAGCGCAGCCGTTCATAAGGCACCCCTGCTGGGCGAGTTTCAGACTTTTCCGCTCCCAATCTCGCTGGTGCCAGAAGATGTACAGGAAGATGACGACGATACCTGAAATGGAGAGAAATGCGGTGATGAGAATGAATCATAGAAATACCGCAGCCTTACAAGAAGTCTACCAACCTCAACAAATTTCTTATATCAATATGAAACGAGATGGTACGGAATTAAGTGACAAAGTACGGGACAGATAAATATTTGTATTTATCTGCACCATTCAACTGCTATTTACACAGGTAAAAAGTGTCAGAATGTCAGGCCATTCAGGTTTTATGAAATTATGCTTCCTCTCGTTTGGATAATCACCCCATAAACTAGAATTACCTTGTCCGATTGAATAGGTAATACCATTTCACCATTGCCTTGTATTTTATATTTTTATAAAGATACAAGCATCGCTTGATTATTCATTTAGGAAATCATTTATAAGGATACAAGCATCGCTTGTTTATTCATTTAAATCATACCTAATTATCCACTGATCTATACTTGAACGTAAATGCGAATGCGTTATAGAAAGTCCCCTCTCAAATCCTGTCCCCACCACACGCCTCTGGCACCCATTAGCCCCGCCCCGATCCGTCGTCAAACTCAGGTCACCGCCTCAGGCGGTTAGTACAAGCTGCGTCAGCCAATCAGCGTCCGAGTATCGTGTTACGTCATCAGGCAGCTGTCTGTCCGCCTCAGCCCCGTGAGGGCTGGAGCGGGGTCGGGTGGGGGGGAGGGGCCGGGTGGTTTACAATTTGAGTTCGGTGAAGTGTCGAAAAGGAAACAAGTGAATCTTGTATGTGGTGTGGAGATGCGGCAAAGTAGGAACTACTGGTGCTTGTCCCTCAGCTGCCATAATCAGACACCCTCTCGGCGTATTCCAGTCCCAGAACCAGAAGTACCCAAAGCTCAACATTCTGAGGCATCAAAGGACGAGCGTGATTTCTGGTCACCGGTCAGCGTCGCTGTAAAGGTAAGTTTGGCACAATATCCGAAATGAGCTTATGTTCTGGCATTTTTTATTTTGGGATTGTGAACTGTTCGTGAGTGTCAACGTGCTGGTATGTCCCAACGTCATCAGGAAAAAAATGACTGGGTGAAGTCGTTTATTGGCCCACAATTACGATCTACACCAAGAATGGTTAATATTCAGCAATCACTTCAAAGAGAAATGCTCAAAACAGGCGCCGTTATAAACATTGCAATCTTTTTAAAGCCACTACATCTCCTGATCAGCTGGAAAGAAACCCGCCCAAGTCTTTCTCCGGTTGAATAATCTATCTGTGAAGTCTGAGCACGATTTCCTCCCGAAGATGAATGTCTGAGCCAGATCCGCCTGTACATACATCATCGGACTAGTGAGGTCTGATGCTGGAATGCAATCACCGTATTTTAGGAAACGATCGTAAAAGATATTCTAAAGAAACCAATCTGAGCCTGCACCTGCAATTTTTTTTCAGCAGTCAGAAAAGAATATTTCGTACACCTTTAATCAAACTAGCAAATAATTGCACATCTACTCGAATATTATAATACCCGTGTGGAATCATAATTGGTTATGTATGATTTGCAAAACTCGTGAAGCTGCAGATTAGACTGAAAGGGTGACCAAACAATTTTCCCAAACAGACAATATCTTGTGGCTTATTTTCATATGTCAATGACAAAAAATAATATTTACCAAAATTAGCCAACTTTTGACCTCTTGTCTCTGGTACACAATGCCTCTAGCATTGCATGGTATTGCATTGCACTACCTCCATATTACCATTCAACTATATTTCTTTTCCATTCAACGATTCAACTGAGATGTTTTTCTCGCATTGATACGATGCGTTAAACGCGATTCACATAGAACTTTTTCAGCAATCATCCCATTCCTCCGACGGATGCTAATGAGACACCCTCTGCTAAATGACAGTCTAATCTCACAGTTTCACAGTTGACAGAAAATACGGAATCAAATAGCACACAAAGAGCAGCGCGGCCATTTCCATACAACAAACCGTCAAGTCGTGCGTGAACGGTTACGTGTGGGATCGCAAATCATTTCAAGAAATGTGCATAATTGGAAGTTTGAAAGATTGAAGACGTATGCAGGAATAATTTGATGAGCATTTAACCCTTATACGGCCGTGATTTAACCTGCGCCCCACTGGGGGGGGGGCTATTTATAGCCCTCCCTCCCGTTTTTCTGCAATAACTTCCAAACCGCTTGACGGATCGACGCCAAACTTTCAGTACCTTCGGCTGCATCAATTTGACACCTTGTGTCAAAATTTAAACTTCGTAGCTATCATAGGTCGGCCGGAAATGACGTCAGAGTGACGTCATGTTCGTCCGATTTCGACGCAAAACATTGAACCACGGCAATCGCTCCCAAGAGCTCAGTTTTTAAGCTAGATCCAATTTCTTTGCATGAAAGGACTCAGAATTGACCGCGCTATCAAACTGCTATCTCGGATTTTCAAAATTTTGAAAATTTCGAAAATTGTATATAATAATATTCAAAATTTATATTTTTATATTTTTTTCAAAAAGTTTTTGACTTTTCGAAAAAACCGGAATATATGTGACAGAAATAGACACCTTTTTTGTTGAAAAATTTTAACTTCAAAATTTGACCTTTTTTGACCTGAAAGTGACCTGACCTAAGCTAAATTCGACTCAAAATGACCTCGAATGACACAGACGACATCAAATTCGAAATCTATGGCCTAAATGGACCATAAAACATGTGTCACGTGACCGACGCATGATATAATATTTTCGTGACCTGTGATGACCTGACCCTGACCTGAAAATCAAAGTACAAGTTTGGTACCCTCAAGGTATCTAGAGCATCTGTTCACGAGTGTGGAAACCAAAAATGAGTCTGATCTGACTTGTAAGACGGCGGCCAGAGCCCAAAATGTGAACAAGCAAAAATGCTAATAATTTTTACTTTGACCTGACCTGTGACGTCATCGGTGACCTCGAGGTCAATGAAATTAGGTTTCGCTCGACAGTTTTTCCGGGGCTATCAGACGCCGTTTGAATTTTGACGATCGGCCCAGTAGTTTCGGAGTTAGGAGGGGGGGCTATGAATAGCCCCCCCTCCCCCAGTAGGGCGTGTTATACACAGACCCCAGTGGGGTCTGTGTATAACGCACAGCTCCCCCCTGTGTATAACGCACAGCTGCGGAGGATGACCGGCCGGACCTGGGGTCTCCGCGAGGCGCAGCTCAGGACAGTCGCAAACGGGTATGTCCGGGGAGCCCTTGAATACGCGGCGGGTGCCTGGCTCCCGGCCGCGTCCCCGTCTCACGTTCAGCTGGTGGAGCGCGAGCTGCTGGCGGCCGCCCGGGTGGTGACCGGATGCCCACGGTCCACCCCCAGGGATCCCCTGCTGGCCGAGGCAGGCATCCCTTCAGCATGGTCCACCAGGAAGACGCTGGCCGCGCGAACGCTCTGCCGAGCGCTCGCCCTGCCGGAGGACGACCCTCTTCGCCGCGTCGAGGAGGCCGACCCACCCACTCGACTGCGGTCTACCACCGGCTGGCGACAACTGGGGCGATCGGCGCTGATCGAGGCGGGCGCCGAGGGAGTGACGGTGGAGCCGCGCCTCGAGGTTCCCCTCATCCCGTGGACAACCTGCCGCCCGATCGCCTTCAATCTGGACGTGGGTCCCGGCGGTCGTCGAGCCTCCTCCAACGAGACGCGGCGAGAGGCCGCGCGGCAGCACCTGGCGGCGCTCCCAGCCCAGGCCACGTGGATTTGGTCCGACGGCTCTGCGGACGCTGGGGTCAGGCGAGGAGGGGGCGGCGCCGTCATCTTTACCGCGTCGGGGGAGACTCTCGAGGTGGAGGTGGCGGCGGGGGACCTCTGCTCCAGCACCCGTGCGGAGCTGTTCGCCCTGAGGGCGGCGCTGGAGCGAGTCCGGGATGAGCCGTCCCCCGCCCCGCTGGTGGCGTGCTCCGACTCACGAGCCGCCCTGAGCCTCCTCAGCGCGGGAGCGGCCGCCCAGACCACCACTATCGGCGCGGCGATCTGGAGGACGCTGCTGGACATTGCCGAGCGCCGGCAGGTGACCCTGCAGTGGGTCCCTGCTCACTGCGGGCTGGCGGAGAACGAGCGCGCTGACGCCCTGGCCAAGCAAGCGGCCACCCTGCCCCAGGGCGCCGTGCCCTCGGACGCTCGGTCCCTGACACGGGCAGTTCATCGGACGGCCACACGTCAGTGGCGCGAAAACTGGCCCGACTCCTTTTTTAAGACTATCTTCGGGACCACCCTGCCGCTCCCCATCCCCGGAGAGGACCGAGAGGCCGCCATCTCGGTGCACCAGTTGAGGGCGGGCCACTGGGGCCGCTCGCTCCAATACCTGCACCGGATCGGCCGCCACCCCTCCGTGGCATGCCTGCAGTGCCCCGATAAGCGGTGCCCCGCGGCGCTCTGCGCCGTGTGCCGGGAGGAGGCGGACGTGCCGGAGCACGTCTTGCTCCGCTGCCCGGCCCTCGCTGGCGCCCGCCTGCGGCTAACTGGCAGCATTCACGTCGACCCGTCGCGGCTGCGGGACGCCGACCTGGTGGCTGCCTTGGAGGCCGGCTACCTTCGTCATAGGGAGCCTCTCGGCTATGGTCCTCCGTAAGGAGGTCCCAGGGGGAACAACAACAACAACAACAACAACCCCAGTGGGGCGCGGGTTAACCCTCGCCGGCACAGGGGGGGGGGTTGATGCAACCCCCTAAGGTTTTTCGCAAATAACTCGCGTAAAAAGCGGCCGATCGCGACGAAACTTTCAGTACCCTCGCATTGATCAATTTTACACGTTCCCTGAAAATTTCATGACCCTGACCCCAATGACCTTTGACCTGTGACCTCTTTTCCGTGACCATGTTTGGCCGAAATCGCGATTCGGCGTATGTCGGCTCGCATTAGCCGCGCGTTTGCAAGCTTTTCGTGGTTTCAAACGTTCAAACATGTGATTTGATGCTGCTCCAATACATTAGGGTGGGTGTCAAGGTCACCTGAAGGTCAGGTCAGGTCATTGACCTTTGGTGACCTCGGGTGACCTCGGTTCACTTTTTCGAGTTTTACATGTTTCTAGGCTAGTTTTTGAAGCTGAATTCGAATTTAGCAACCATTTGAACATTTACGAAGTAGTTTTGGTGCCTTCGTAACATGTTACGAAGCTGTCAGAGGCGGTTGACAAGTATTACGAATACCCGTCACAACCCCTACCGGTTGACCTGACCTGACCTGACCCGACCTGGTCTAAATGCTTAAAGACATCATCTCTGATCAAAACTAACACGATATTCGTGATCAGCACCCCGGAAAACCACATAGCAGCCACACTTTACGACTTTCTAACAGGTCCCGATTTTCCCGGTTTTCTGGTCATTGACCTGACCTGGAAGGTCACCCGATGACCTAGGACCTTAAAATTGGGTAAAATCAAAACTAACACGATATTCGTGATCAGCACCCCGGAAAACCACATAGCAGCCACACTTTACGACTTTCTAGAAAGTCCCGATTTTCCCGGTTTTCTGGTCATTGACCTGACCTGGAAGGTCACCCGATGACCTAGGACCTTAAAATTGGGTATCATCGGCTTCCTCTCGTGACGGGCAACACGCACGTTTTTTTTTCGCGAAGCTCTAGCTCGATCAGGGGCATACGCGAGGGGGGTCGTACCAACCCCCCCCCCCCCTTGTGCCGTCGAAGGACGCAAAATGGCCTGTGCCGCCGGCGAGGGTTAACCCAATACGAACTGAAAGCACTAATAAATATTTTGATTTAAACGCGCTCCAGTAGATTGATAACTTATACCTATATTTAGAACAAATGAATGATTGAGTAAATAATTATATCCTTTCACTGAAGCAAAAAGTGAAATGCCGCCTTCTTTTTACACAAAGGCTACCTGTTGAGCCCCATCGTCTCGACTTACTCAGCATTGACTCTTTTCGCTCCCCTAGTTCCATCCCCAAGTTACACGGTTCATCCATCTGTAGCTTTTCTAGCCTCCACCGACACCCAGCGCACCGTCCCTCGAGAGCCAATGTCAGTGGTGACGACTGCCGACTCTCCCGAGACGGAGCAGTGCGCACAGGAACGCGGCTGCTGAATTATTCGACGTCGTAGGAGGGAGAAAAGTCCGTAGAGACCGCCGATAAGAGATCGAGAGGTGGCGCATTGGTAAAAATGGCACGTGGTGATAAACGGAATGATGCCACGGAATGGCTGTCGATAAGGAAGAACTTACGTGGAATGACCAGAATATTGAGCACTGACGCGTGGGTGGAAAAACGTGCAATGTGACCCGAGAGAAAGCTTTCGTAAAAGGGAATATGCATGAGGTATAAAAGGGACTGGAGAGGGGATTTTGACCTGGAAGGTCCATGATTGAGAAGGAAGAAATGGGTATTGTTTCATATGGCAGGGCCCGTAATTTGTTTCCATTTTGGAAACTGCGATATCTCAAATTAGTTTCAATTCCTCGCTGTAACCCATCGAACTGAAGTGTTACATAAAAGTTGGGGATTTCTTTGTCAGCTTAATTGTCACTTTATTCTAGAAGTACCTACATTACGGTAAATCTGAGCACTGTGAACTTATACCTTTTTCCATTCGACCCATCTACAACCTCTTTACCCTGCCGTGTAGTGTATCTTACCAGTGAGCTCAGACATGATGAAGCCTCCGATGAGGCTGTAGAAGCCATAGCCGAAGCGATAGGTGAACCGCGGCGGATCCCAGAGGTTCCTCGAACGCAGCTTGTTCTTCACCTCGGCCTTGAACGTGGAGATGTAGACGATGGTGGCTATCATCGCCAAAAGACCTGGCGGAAAGGTGTTAGCGCTCAAATATGTGCAAACAAAGACAGCAGTTTGGTGAACCTTTAAGACTTAACCGCAGCATCAAACACTTCATCATGGATACTTTATGAGAAGTGAACGTAATTAGCTGAGCATCAAGCAGAAAGAAACAACTTCAGAAAACAGAGAAAACCACTTAGTGACACAGGAACAAACCCGAAAGTTTGAGTTTCTTACAAGATCAGATTCTAAGTGCAGTCAACGAGATCAAGAATTGAGGAGCAGGTACGCAACGTCTATCAAAACAAGTTTAGAATAAACCGACGGGAAGTTGAGACATCTCACTGAATAATTGACAAGACTTGGTAAACTAAAGTTGGCTAGAGAAAGTGCTCCGATGAAACAGATACGAAGCGTAAGAGCTGTGGCCTGTGACCAGAAAACAAGTACGATATATAAGCAATGCAAGCAGCTGGAGGCACTTGAAGAAGGTGGCTAAGCGAAACGTGACTAAAAATGAAAACAAAGCACCAAATAAACAAAACGAGACAGTAAAAAAAAAATTGAAGTCTCTGCTTGTCATACCAAGCACGAATAACCCGACAGAGGAAATGAAGCGGAATATCTAATAAAGCAACCATTGAACATCATTTGAAGAAAAAAAACATCACCCACCAGCCAGTATGAAGTTGACGCCGCCGACGAAACTGAGAAGCCTCCGGCGACGAAAGCAGTGGCCGACTGCGTAGCAAATAACCCCCGTCAGCAGAACAGCAGCTCCGGCGAACAGGAATGGCCCCGTGGTCACCACGGCGTCTGACAAAAGGGTGTTCAGAGTGAGGTGTGTGCAGCTGCTAACGGAGATGTGAGAAGAGGTTGGTGAGACAGGCGGTAGCATTGATTGGGAAAATGGGTCATTGTAATAACACAGTAATGTCAAAGGATATGAGCACTTATGTTCATGAAACATTTTTGCTACTCGCAAAGCTAGGCAAGTACGATTGATGACGGTTCTATTTTTTAATTTTGCGAGACTTTCGAAACGAGTGTAGAGCATTTAGTAACATGGTTGATATAAGCAAAAGTCAGCATCACTAGACTTGCTCTTTGTGAAGCAGGCTGGACACTAAAACCTAGGCTTAGTTGAATGTATGCTTCCATTACTGTAAGTAGCGTATACTGCACGGCTTTACAGTGTTACTCTGACTCAATCCGCAGTCCTCCCATTCATGCATTATTTATTCATCTCCGCTGATCCGGTGGCCCTGGCACTCGGTCCATGGAACCGCCCACCGACCGCGGGGACAGCCATCGGGGGCATCTTCTATTCTTGGGGAGATCATCAGTCGGGGATGGGGTCGTCGGGAAGGGGGGGGGGGGCATTGGGATAATGGGGTGCAGCGGTCCTCCGTTGGCAGGGGTAGCTGAGGTGGGCGGTTATTCAGGAGAGTTTTCCAGTGGGGGTAGACGAGTTCGTAGTGGAACATATTGAAGAGAGGAACAATCTTCAATAGGATGCTTAGTTCAATTGGAAAGAAGCATCTCCGTCCTTCTTTCTGTCTTGAACGAACACGGTGACCAAGGTATTTACATACCGAAAGCTTTGTGTATTTCAACAAACATTTCATTTGTTATTGTTGTCATTTATCCAGAGGAACGGTCATTGATAGTCAATGAAGGGGGGGGGGATACACTAGAAAGAAGCTCGTCAGTCGTCACAGTTCATCGTAAGGCTAGGGGATTGTCAAGGCTATTATCCAGAGATCGACTAAGAGGCCATCCGTGCGGTGACCTTCACGACAAAGAAATGACCGTGTGTATTACCGACCCGGTGACAAGTGCCAGGGTCAGAGAGGGTCTCTGGCATCCTGGTCCGGCCGCTAATGGGGCGGACGAACACACGTAATGGTATCGGCTGGAAGACGGCGTCTACTAAGCGTTTCCCGAGAGCCGGGAGAGCGAGAGAGAGAGAGAGAGAGAGAGAGAGAGAGAGAGAGAGAGAGAGAGAGAGAGAGAGAGAGAGAGAGAGAGAGAGAGACAGAGAGAGAGAGAGAGAGAGAGAGAGAGAGAGAGAGAGACAGAGACAGAGACAGAGACAGAGACAGAGACAGAGACAGAGACAGAGACAGAGACAGAGACAGAGACAGAGACAGAGACAGAGACAGAGACAGAGACAGAGACAGTGACAGAGACAGAGAGAGAGACACACACACACACAGACAGACAGACAGACAGACAGACAGACAGACAGACAGACAGACAGACAGACAGACAGACAGACAGAAACAGAGACAGAGACAGAGGGGGAACTGGAGGCCCGCGGGAGGACGCTGGCGAGGGAGGCGGCGAAGAAGTACGACGAGGTGTGGGGAGGGCCGGAGGGTGGGGAGGCCCACGGGAGGCGCAGGAAGACACCAGGGATGGGTAAACAAGGCTGACAGCGAGCCGGGCTATTGGTGGGCGATCGGAAGAGCCGTCACCAGAACAGAGACATTAACAGGCGAGGGAGAGGGGGAGAGGGGGAGGGGAGGGAGGGAGAGTGGCGACGGAAACTGGAGCATGAAATGCGTCGATCGGAGGGGAGAGTGAGAGAGGGGGATGGATGTGTGAAAAGGAAATGTTGAAATGATTTACACCCATCGTCGCGTTTGGTGTTAGACTCGGAGAGAGATGAGGGAGGGAAGAGAGAGAGAGAGAGAGAGAGAGAGAGAGAGAGAGAGAGAGACGAACAAAAGAGAGAGAGAGAGGGAGAGAGAGAGAGAAAGAGAGAGAGAGAGAGGGAGAGAGAGAGAAAGAGAGAGAGAGAAAGAGAGAGAGAAAGAGAGAGAGAAAAAGAGAGAGAGAGAGAGAGAGAGAGAGAGAGAGAGAGAGAGAGAGAGAGAGAGAGAGAGAGAGAGAGAGAGAGAGAGAGAGACGAACGAGATGTCTGAGCTATTCAGACCGCGTTGTCAGTACTAATTAGCCTGTCGATGGGAGCCCGATCAACATGTTTTCGGGTTAACAGTCAGATAATCAGACCATTCGCTCGCCTCGACTAGAATTTCAGCCCGGGATGAGGGTTAATTATTTGATGAATCGGTCTGTAGTGAGTGAGATGTATTCAATGTGTGTGAGTGGAAATGTTATCGGGATTCTCTTGTAGCGAAGTTATTGTCATTGATGTTCCAAGCTTCAATTGAGTCAGTTTCAATCGAATGATTGTGTCTCAAGTTGTGTGCGAGCTATCAAAAACAATCGGTCTTCGAAAGGCGTCAGAAACATCGCGTTGACAAACTTTGACAGGGCTTTGTCCTGCAGCAGAAAGAACGCTCGCTTCGTGAGAACTTGTTGGCTGTTTGGTTTAGCGAAGTGCCTTTTTACTCGTACGACGTCTGTGGTACATGATGTCAGCAGTTGAAGATGACGAGTATTATTTTCAATTTACGTCTCAGATAAGCATGAACCCATGGAAATACTATGGATTATGATCACCATTCCCTCAGTTCATAGCATTCCTAAGCCCTTACCAATTTGTTCACACGGAAAGCTAATTCAGTAGCGTTGGTTTCCGACTTTCATTAGAGATCACGACATCCTTTACAACATATCACATCCGCACTAGCCCGCTTATATTACTTTCCTCATCACACAGGGTGTCTACAAGAGCCCAACTAAACCGGCCGACCGTGGGTAGATATAAGAGCCTGTAGCGCCGGCCAAGGTGTCCATAAATCTATTTTTGACACCATTGTGGCCGCGGAGAGCGACCCAATCCATAGCTGCCCGGTCTCGGACCGCCCTCTCCGAGTCAGACAGTGTCTGAGGATCCGCTGAGCCGGGGGACCATATGGGCTCAGGCCGGGTCACAGGGTGTGGTGAAGGGACTGGCATGTGCGTTTTACATACAGCTGGTTACATCAAGTGAGCCCCGCATTACTCTACTCATTGTTGTCAATTTTGCAGTGGTCATTGCTATCATTGGTACGAATACCCAATTGAAAAGAAATTATGTGGTTTTGTAGGGAACAGGGACGTGTATTCGTTGATCATTATCGGGTCTGTCGGCAATTAACGTCTACCACATTGCTTTGTAAGTACTTATTATATAAGTCAAACAATAATCTAAATGAAATGATTATTTACGTTTATGTTAGCATTTATCAAGGTTATTTAAAATAAGTGGTCCAGGTGAAAAACATCATTGATTATTTTACAGTGACCGGGCTTCTAAATGTGCATCTGTTTTTGAGAACATACATGCAGAAGGACCAGACATTCATTCTTACTCGGTATAGCCATGGTGGAGTCTGCATCGTCAGGTGAATAGTTTTCTCTCGGAAAATAGTCGATCAGCTCACATACAAACTCACTGCTGCCCACTGAAACAAAAAGAGTCATGGTCAACGGTAAGTATCCCAGAAAATGCAGAAAATAGACTAAATGATTGAACAACGACAAATACGAATAGACAACACAGCAATATTGTCCGCTGTCCACTGAAATGCAGAGAGAGGCAGTGACTGAATATTTGTTTACCGTAGCATAGAACGGTTGGGAGCGGAAACCTGTTTATAAACCTGCCGTCGCTAGAAAATTGAAGACAATAACCGCATCGGCAGAGCAGCGAGGTGCTGCGTGATTTGCATGGCAATGTCTTGCGACAAATGAGCAACAACATATTGCATCAGGGTGCCTGTCATTAGTTTCCCGATGGGATTCGAGCTCAATGTCCCACTAGGCCTGATCTGGATGAAAAGCTCATTTGTATCGGTGAATTTCCATATTCGACATTGTTTGGCATGCCGTTTGGGAACAAAACTCGCCTATTCTCTCCACTAACCGAATAACTCCAGGCAGCGTTGGCAGCATGGACACTCCAACTTTGACATTTGTACACCCCTGGGAAATTCTGTTTCGACTAATCGCATGACCTTCGCTAATTCATTTTGTCTTAGTGCTCTGACGGTACTCGAAGTTCCACATTTTGGGAGACTGATCAGTCCACCTGTAGCCTGCTTGTCCAATGGAGACCATTCCCGGCACGAGTTAGACCATTCTCTGAAAGTTCAAAGCGGTGAGTTCTGATGAAATCTCCGTGTTTCGCCCACTGAAGTAAGAGCAGAAATGTAAGGCATTGGGGTAGACTCTAGTTGAAGTGATTCACTGTGATTTTGCGAATGGAGTTCACTATTGATGATTGAGTGCATAAATCAGTACCAATTGTCTAAAAAAACATTGAATTCAAGAACATGTGACATTCAACCAGAATCCCAGCGTTACTGTGTTATGAACTGACGTTGGGCAGTTGTTTATTAGTAGGTGCGATCAGTGGTACAGCGACAAGCATTGCAACTCCACGAATACCAACTAGCGCACACATAATTAGGGACTTCATGTCACAACCTAGCATCCGTATCTTTCTAGTTGGGACCTAATCTCCCACTAAAAAAAAACTACATGCTCTTTTCATCTCTTTCCCATCTCTCTGTCCCCTCTCTTCCCCTGCTTCCCACCTCCCCGTCTCGTCCGTCGTCTGACGTCTCCTTCCCGGTCAAACATCCCCGCATTATCTCTCGCTGTGTCGCACGCGCACACAGAACGATCAATAAGGACACCGACAAATCACATCAGCTTCCTGTCGGTCATGTTTTGCATGACAATGCGAGCAGGATGTCCAAGCTACGTCGAGATGACCGAGACGAATTAACCTGCATTCGTGATCAGCACATACAGATGAGAGTGCCAGAATATTGCAATACAACATCAAGCTAGGCACAGCCTTGATCAGTAAATATATTTTCGTAAGACAAACGGCTTGATTGTGAACGTCAAATAATGACATATTGAACCCTCTGATGTAAATATATCTGAAAACGAAAGGTTAGAAGTCAGATATGCTTTGCTTTACGCTCTATTTGTATATAGCATTGTCTGATCCTGTAGCGATCTGTCAACTCGGTGTTTGATGGCGATATATTTAGCTGACCTTTGAGGATTGTAAGAGATAAATGCATTGACCTGTCCGACACTGGCTCCCGTATCGCGGCGCAAAGGCTAGGCCGCCGTGATGAATGTGGCCCGAGAGCAGGGTTCTCGAGAAGCGAAGGCTATTGTTTGCTGTTCCAGGTAAGGTCTAATCGGGATTATATACAATTTGCTTTATTTCATTGCTACTGACTTTGTTTGTCTTATTTGACGTCTCATGTCAGCAATATCCAACGGTTTGTATGCGGCATGGCATGGAAGCACTTTTACAATCAGCAATATTGAGAATCCTCCATTTGTTACTTTTTGTATAAATTGTGTACAGCGTTTTACGTCACATAGCACTTCACAATCACGATCTAAACATAAATGTAACTACTTTGTTACCTTTTCTGGTAGATTAGGTCACATAACTCATTCGCAGAATTGCATGTGTGCTCGTCATTCTCGGCCATTCTCACCCTGAGATGTATCACAGCCCTAACCGAGCCTCAGGAGGCCCATATCCATCACTGGAGGCGCGCCTCAGCACCGCTTACCCCATTCCCCCACCCACCAGTCACGGGCACACACAATGAGTTACCCCCAAACGACCCGCATCACGGCCACCTCCAGTCATGATATCAGCACTAACGGCAGAGCTGCAGAGATACATCGCCGTCATTTGCTCCACACCTACTCCGGCCTGTCTATTTGGAGGAAATCCCGTGCCGTTGGACGAGACAGTAATCGTGAAGATGGAGAATCAATGATAGAATGATGGCCTGCGAAGAGATTAACGCCAGAAGTGATTACTTGTGTATTACTGAGGGTGAATAATAGGGAAGGCTGCTCGCAATATCGTACTCCTAGAGGCAAAGAAAGAAGGAAGGCTTGAGAGCTGCCCAATTTTCGGTTGGTGAAGCCATGTAACCGGTTGACGGATTCCGCTTGGTACCTCCATTCACTGCTGCCAAGATTGCCCTACTTTTGAGATGTGTGTTGCAATAGATGAAAGTCATCCTGCAAGCACTGGCAAAAAGGAGGTAATGTCGTATTTTTTGGTTGGTTATGAATAAAGTAATTTCGAGCAAATAACACTCGTAAGTTCTCTTATCGCCATTTGAACTTGCTCCACTTGTTTGAGGGGTTTCAAATGCGGTTTCTGGTTGACTGAGTGTTTTTTAAATCAGTTTAGAAAATGACACGGATATAATGTAAGAAATTGAATGCTTAGCTAGTAGCTACACATATGAGACGACATATGTACGCTTAGCCAGAAAATGTCACATGATCTTCCCGCATAGATGTCAGTGATAATTGAAAGCAGTATACAAGGATAAGAGCCTTATACCGTTCAGCAAACCACAATTTGCGTAGGGCCTCAAACCAACAGCAATAAATGCCACATCAGAGTTTGTTAGGAGGCGTTGGCGAGGAGTTGGCGTAACCAGCCGCTTTCAAAGACATAAATGATTGTTTCGATTTGTCTGAACAGCTTGAACAGCATGGTATTTGTCGCGGTGGATCAGGAGTAACGCTTTATAATGTGAAATGTTCACGCACCCTGCTATCTAAAATCTAACGCCAAGGCCCAACTGTTGGTGAGAGCTTATCACCGGTACCTTCAAACTACCGATATGTTCAGCTTGCATATTTTACATCCATTCTTTTCATGAGTGCCTACTTTAGAGGAAGACATCAATTAATTGAATGAAATACACATATTCAACAAATTAGCAGCCTTTATCATGTCAAAACCAGCTCATGTCTCTTCCCTCTGCAACACCATGACAAAGCCGATCCTGTCAAATGAACTTTCCACCATTCATTCCACTCCCCAAATTAATTTTTGACTGATTCTTCCGCCGCCCACTGGCGCCCCAAACGCGTTCGCTGCGGGCTGATGGAGCTAATTAGGTGGAGTGGGGTCACATTTCGCCCGGCCGTCGCACTCAATGAGTGTCAGGGCCAGACGCGGAGCGCCGGCCGCTGGTGGCAAAATTACACATCACTCGACGTCAGTGGAGCCGTCATTGAGCGTCAGCTGGACGCGAGAGTCATGTGGCGGTAGGAAATGACGTTTTTGACGTCCGGAAGGTCATGACCCCAGGCTGGAGCGAGATGTGAGCTAGTGATTTGATTTGAACGGGCATTGGATTGATGAGTGAGAGGAAGTTATACGAGTGCAGTGGATACAAGTGTAAGCATTCATCGACCAATGATAAGGGATGAATTGCAAACAATCAAATTTTACCTCAAGATGCGTCAGTAAACTTGGACTAGGTATAATCAACTTTTTTCCTTACGATTGGCTATGGCAAAGTATCTGTACAAGCTAAGAAACAACAGCTGACTTTTGAGCTTAGTAAAAGACAGATCAAATCATTAGATTCATAGGTACTACACACTACACATCCTACAACCACACCATAGCACATTCCCCATAAGCATTTCTCTTCTCTCTTCTATCGCCTGTCGTCCCGCGAATTCGCTCAAAAACGCACCGTCACGGTATTGCTTCTTCTGAATGCCTTCTCCGTAACCGAAGCTCTTATTTTTGCGAGATCTCGTCTAACTAAATTTCTGCTGTCGTCTGAAGAAGACTGGGATGTCTCTAGCACGAGCTGGAGTAGCAAACAGCACTCTAAAGAAAACACTCATCAAACAATGGAGCGCTGCTAATGCTTTACGGATGCAAAGTTTCATACTCGGCTCCCTTCAGGCAAGTGGCAACAGACTGCATCTTCAATGATGAAAAGGCCTTACTCAGCTAAATATCAGCAACTTGAAAATTCATTTATTTGTTAGAATGTTTGAAGAGTGCACACAATGGTACCTACCATTGTGCCGAGACGGAATGATCGCAGTAATGGCTTCCAGTTGAAACTGTCTCGGACGAAAGATGACCTAACCTCCAATAACATATGCAAATCATTTATTTTATTCATGTGACCTGTTTAAAACCCTCGCGGGCCCGGGGGGGGGGCGTTTTTCGCCCCCCCTGGCGAATATTTGCGATAGCTCCCGAACGCTTAGGGATAGGAAAGCGAAACTTTCAGTACCTTTTCTCCCATCAATTTGACATCTTCTGAAGTAAAAAATTTGGACCTAGCCCCCTTGATGACGTCACAAGGTCCATTTTTCTAGACCCCTGCACGGCAAACTTCGGCGTCACAGACGCAAACTTCAAATAGCTGCTAAAAATAGAGTTTTAGAGATAAAGACAAATTACGAGCACGGTTGTGTAGCGTTTGACCTAGAGAAAAATATAAAAATAGTTTTGGTGACCTGAGGTCAGAGGTCAGGTCAACGACCCCGAAATGTGGTTTTAGTTTTTCGCAAATAACTTCGACAAAAATGGTCCTAGAGCTACGGCAGTGGTACCATCGCATTCGCCTTGTCAAGCCGCGTCGAATGATATATATTTTGTTCGGAAAAGGTCAAGTTTTATGTTGACCTCATGTGACCTCGAATGACCTCTGGTTGACCTTGACACATGAAAGGTCGTTTATGATGGATTTGTACCCGCTGATCACGAATCTGGCATCTATTTTCCTCTAAGCCTTCATTTAGAGCTTCCGGATGGCAAAATTGTCTTATTTATTATTACTAACTTGAATTAGTGAAATAGCCTCTAGCAGGGATACTCTTCAGTGACCTTGACCTTTGAGCAGCCTTGTATCGTAAGAGGAACCACAAATAGGGAACTGATAAGCCTCAAAACATTTTAAAACATCTTGAAAGTTAGCATGCAAGATGTGCGAAAAAGTGCCAAGTTTGAGGTCAATTTTGAGCGTGACCTTGACCTTGACCTTTAATTTTGAGCACATTTTCGGAATCCTCAGATTCTCTTCTTTTGTTTGACACCCAATTTTGCCGGTTTGATGCCGCCTGCCGTCCTCTAGAAGGCTTACTTTGAGATCACTACACATGTGCCGGTTTTTGCCTTTGACCTTGACCTCTGACCTTGAAAATTGACCTGAGGTCAAAAATTTTAGGTGCTTTAGAATCGTCTCGTAAGGACCTTTCGTTTGGTATCGCTTTTGTTTCCGTAGCTCCCTTATTTACGGAGTTAGACAGGGGGGGCGAAAAACGCCCCCCCCGGGCTGCGGTGGTTGGGATTACCCCCCGGGCCCGGCCGGGTTAATGTCAAATCAAATAATACGGGCAATAATTTTTGGTACAATCAGGTATTTATGAATCGAAATCGAAAGAAGAGACTTCTCGCAAGCTAGGTGGGCAATGAACACCAATAGGTACAACCGAAAATAAATGATCAAACAATTTGCTTCTTTCTCTTCTCAGTATGCCCAACGTCTGAGTTTCCCAATATTTCTTTCAGGATCGGTCGAGCAGAGGGCGAGAGTTCAAGCAAACCACTGACTGGGAGTAATGCTACTGCCAATAGACCGCCAAAAAGAGCGATGCACTACAGTGTTGAACACTTTGGCTCTGGCAAATATAGGCCCAGGCTCATCAGTCTAGTCTAAACGGGAGAATACATCGCTACTTTCACCATGAGAGCATTTCTCTCGGACTTGTGAAGTCATAAGGGCTAACGCAATTGCTTGAATTTAGATGCAACAGGTAAGGTGGGGCTATTCATTTTGGTGGTTTTTGAATTAGCGCTCCTTTTTTGGTAACATGCAATACAAAAATGACGTCTTCTGATATGCGCAAGAAGGCGAAACAAAATAGAGTTTTTCAGCACGAAACATGCAGTGCATGTACAATTGTACACAATGACGATATATCTTTAGAGTTTTGACTCCATATACTCACATGGCGTATAGCATATCTTCCACAATCCGCTGTAGGTTTTCTTGTTGATTGCCGGGCCCGTTCCATTCGGAAACCTTTCGTTTGTGATCAACCACTCGGGCGTTGTCATGGAAACGGTTACCAGGGCAACTGAGCACAGGGCAGCGCCGGGGGCGATCCACCGAAGGACCCGGACCGCGCGATTCAAAGTGCGGGCCATAGAGCCACCTGGGGAAGGGAGAAAGAAATGTCAGCCTAAAGATGCATGAAAACACGACTTACATGTTTTTCGAATGTCCGTAGTGAGAGTGCTGTATAAACATTGCTTCTAAAGGTAAATACCTACTGGATTATTTTTTACTTATCTTTTAGTCTAATTTTGGATACCTACAAAAGGTGCCATGCGGGTAGATTTTTATATCTGCATTGCATTCATCATATTGTTTTTTGCTGAATGAAAACTCAAAACAATATGAATTCAATTTGAATTTGAATCCAACAATTATTTTGTGCTCTTGTTTTGAGTTATTTCTATAGGTAGGTATGGTACTCTTGTTCAGGGCTATGCTTTATTTTCTGCAGCGCTAGATCTAACGCCAATATGGCTAGCGCGGACCATATCACAGCTCTTTATGATATTTTCACTGTTATGCTTCTGAGCTCCATTTATTCTAAAATTGCATTACATATATGTAATGCTTATATGGTATGGTTGTGATGTTGTTATTGTAATTGTCGATTAAAATGTAATTTGTAATTAACGCTGAAATTTACACCCAACGACTTCCACCACGGCGCCATGGCTTAGTTGGTTAAAGCGCCTGTCTAGTAAACAGGAGATCCCGAGTTCGAATCTCGGTGGTGCCTCTTTTCCGTTCACGTCTACCTTGCACCTGCGCTTACCGATCACCTATGCATAGGCCATAGGCCATGCATAGGCCACCTATCATAGGCCATGGCCTATGATAAGTGATCGGTTAGTCCTCTGGTATGTCCTATGATAGGTGATCGAATATGGAACCAACACTTGTTCCATATTCGAAAAGGTCGATCGATATGTGTTTTAACCCACGAGCCGCTGGGGGGGGGCATAAAGTTGCCCCCCCTTTACGTTTTGTGAAATATCTCCGAAACCTGATGAGCTGCGAACGTGAAACTTGGCATAGCTTCAAATGAATACCTAGGCAATATTTGAGGAAAGTTTGGTGGTTGTAGCACCTAAGATGACGTCACAGTGACGTCATAAAGTTTTGTCGTTTTCCGATATGGACCGTTTCTGATGACGCTGAGCATGAAACTCAACTGTAAATGAACTAGACAGCACCTGCTGTCATCCTAAAGCATCTAACTACACTTCCATCTAGTTTCTGACCAATAATCGACCCTTTATATTCGGTCCCATATATCTGATGTATCGTGAGGAATATGAGAGTCGCAAATCTATAATTTCACTTATGACGTCACTGTGACGTCATTTCAAATGGGATCGACACCAAATTTGGACACAACCTCGGCTAGGTATTCAGGAAGATGTGTACAAAGTTTCGCTTCTCTATCTCTTCGCGTTGCGACGATATCGTAGCAGAAGTAAAGGGGGGGCAACTATATGCCCCCCCCCAGCGGCCGGCGGGTGGCGCGGAGGCCCAGCGGCCGCCGGGTTAAATTCCTCGCCCCGTTGGGGGGGGGGCAATTTGGCCCCCCTGTGGTTTTTCCTGAATAGTAAAAAAACGGCGGCGCGCAGCGCCGCCAAATTTTCAGTACCTTATCGGGCATCAATTTGACACCTTCATACAAAATTTCAAGTCTTAGGTCACCTTAGGTCAGGAGTTATTGAGGTCAAACTGAGGTCATGTTCGAGCAAAAATGAGCAAAAAACATGAAATCTTGAAGCGCTCACCAGAGCTACAGTTACTTAGCAATTTCAAAGTTCTTTATACGGTCATGTAGAAAAAAAACGGCGCTACAAAACTGCTATCTCGGATTTTCAAAATCTTTGAATTATGACCCTCAAAAATTCAAAAAACTGATTTTTTATTAGAAAAACGTATGACAAAAACAAAAAACAATTGAATTTCGAAAAACGGGTTAAATGTGATAGTCCCTCTGCTCTTCTATCTACATACCAATTTTTAGATCGATACCTCTATTTTTGGCTAAGTTATAGCGAAAAAACTGTTCAAAATTGATGACGTCAAATTTTTGAACTCAATTTTCGGCAATTCTAGAGCACGTAGCGCAAAATAAAGACCACCATTGAACTCCCCGTGACGAGCTGCATCGAATCAATACCCATTTTATGCAGAAATATCAACTTTGAAATTTGACCGAATTTGACCTGACCTTGACCTGACCTTGACCTGACCTTCACCAGAATATAATCTAAACTGACCCCAAGGGCTGCCTGTCCTACATAATCGCATTTGACATATAAAATGGACCATAAAACATGTATCACATGATATTTTCATATTGTGACCCTCAGTGACCTGACCTCTGTGACCTGACCTGGAGTCAGCAGTGGCGTAGCCAGAAATCAGCGAAAGGGGGGGCCATGGTGCTCGAGGGGGCGACTTTTTTCCTTGAGAGGGGCGCCATAGTGAGCTAGTGACAGGGGGTCAGTCTAAAATGTAACGCCATATATTCATGCATGATTTACTAGGTGTTACTACGGAACCGGCACGAGTATCAGAACCAGGTTTCGCTGATTTTTCATAAAATCCAATTAATGCAATTTGCAGCTCAGTGTTTTTTATCAAAAGCGATAAAAAATATTTATGCATATTTAGCACGATATAGGAAACGAGCTCAGGCTACAGACATGTTATTCTCAAAATACACACCCATTCGAATTCGAAACGGTAAAATATGCGTTGATCGATTGGCACAATCTTTATTCTTTGCAAAAAAAAACATACAGGTTCACTCACTGAACCAAAGTGACCTGTGGAGTGTGGACTGCAGCCTCTGGTCGACCGGGGTGGCCGTGCTTAGAATCTCAGACACTCATGACTGCATGAGTGCCAGATGGGTGAGGCGTGAGACTGTCCCATATAGTGGCACGAAGGTTAAGAATGTCTTCGGCCGGCGTAGTATAGAAGACGACTTTTGATGATGTGAGTGTGCATGGTCGACTTTGAATAAGTGCCATAGAAACCTGCTGATCTCACCGAACATTCGCCTTGCGTAATCCCCAGACCAAATATCTTCGTTGAGGGCCAGGTCAATTTTGCGACCTCTCTATAAGTACCTTTAAGTTACCGATTACCTATAAGTTAACCCGCGCTGTGCTGGTGGCCTGTGCTTTCCGTGTCGTGCTGGGGGGGGGGGGTGTTTTCACGTCCCCCCTCTAACTCGGCTCCTGGGCCACGTAGTGACACGCGGTAAGGGGAAATCGAAAGAGCGTCAAAAATAATGACGGAAAGACTTCGTTTCAATTTTTAGGTCAGGTCAAAGGTCAGGTCACCAGAGGTCATCAAAGGTAAAATTTAGTCCATTTCAACAATTTTGGAAACTGCCAACGGCTAACTCGGGAACCAATAGAGCTACAGCGCCGCGGAAAAGCGCATTCGATAGCCCTTTTACAGGCTTTTCTGAATATTGCTCTCGGATTTGATCTCAGGACAATGGTTTAGCCTCCAGAGGACAAAAATTCCAAAAATAACAGTTTTTATGAAAAGCGTTTTTCTGCAATAACATTTGGTTCAAGACAGTGACGATATCTATTTTGCCTGCCTCGTGTTCCTCTCGTTGACCTTGAAAGGTTATTTTAAAAATTCGACCGCAGGTCAAGGTCACGACCTGACCGGAAAGGGTCATTCTGCAGATCAGTCGATCCGTATCGTCGAGCTGACCATATCTGACGTGTTTTCACCGCTCTAGCACGTCTCTATCAAAAGTTGAAGCCAAAAACCGTTTATGGTGATAAAATAGGTGACCGTTTATGACCTGAGATGACCTCAAGGGCACATAAAAGGACACATGTGCATTTTTACGATTCAGTGTGCTATGTTTACCTATGAACCGATGTTTAAGGGGGTTTTAAACGACATTCGTCCAAAAGAGGCGCATTTCACTTTTCTCCCACTGACTTGAGGTCCCAAAATTGACCTGACCTTAGGTCACAGAAATAAAAAGTCCGAGATGAACATTTTATGCATATTGTTAGTCTTATCAATCTCTAAAATTTTCAAAAGTGATCGTTCAGTCGGTGTAGCTATAGCGGGTCTTTTAACTTTTTTAGGTAAGGTCACTTGACGTGCCCTAGTGACCTGACCTTGAACGACCCTCATCTGAAATTTAACAAGCTGTGTAGAAAAGATGTATGAACAGGTGTACCAAAGGCAGCGCAGGCGCTGCGCGACGCCGTTTTTGAGATGTTCGCGAGAAAAAAAAACTTGGGGGGCGTACCCCCCCCCCCCCTCCAGCACGGCGCGGATTAATGGGAGACAATTGAAATGCTCTTCTTCTGAACGAAAACAACCTCAACCATCGGGATGCAGGTAAATATGACACATTTAATCGGTAAATGTCACTCGTGATGTGACCACTTTTATGTTACTGAGGTCATCTCAGGTCATGAAAGGTCTCCAGTAGACTTTGGACAATAACTTTTGATAGAGATATGGTAGAGCAATGAAACACCCTACATAATCATTTTCCTTCTCGAAAATATGGATCGACTAATATGCAATATGACCTTTACCGGTTAAGTTATGACCTTTACCTTAGGTCAAATTCTGAAATGCCCTTTTAATGTCAAATTCTAGTTCATTTGACTCGTCTGTCTCGAAAAATGGAACACGATGCTGGTTGAACTAATCTCATGCAGGTCTGAGCCAAAAGGTATTACAGATAAACGTCCTCCGCGAAAACGTAGGTATATTTTGAGGCTAAAACGTTTACCTTAGGTCAAATCTGAGATAATCAATAAGAGAGAGCATAAAAAAGAGCTATCGAATATGCGCGTTGCTGCGGCGCTGTAGTTCAATCTCTTTCTGAATCCTGACTTATGCGCCGCTTTGTCGAAAAATGTCAACATCGGCGAAATTTGATTTTCGGTTGTCGCTGGTGACCTGACCTTCGACCAGTTCGACCTAACCTTAAAATGATCTAAGTAGTTTTGTAATAGTTTTTGACGCTCTTTCGAACGCCGCCTACTGCGTGTCTCGACGTGGTCCACAAGCTGAGTTAGAAGTGGGTGTTCAAACACCCCCAGCAGGTTCAATAAAAAAACGCTTACGCTGGGGGCGGCACCCCACTGCTAGGCGCTGTCGGCATCGCAATAATGGGCGGC